AGTTGATGGTGGGGGAAAATTAGAATAGTAAAAACTGTGTGGTTAAGGTTTGTGTAGAGAATAGAGAAATGAACAAATTACAAATTCTTTTCCTTTTTTTATTCATCAATTACATATTTTTTAAGTACAATGAGAGAATAAAAACAAAAGCAGTACAGAGAAAAAAAATAAAATAAAGGAAAACAGAAAACTAGTCCCAAGGAAAATCTTTGAATTGTGATCTAGTCGTCATGTTGTGACGCCTTTTGTTCTTTTGCGTTTTTCTGTAAATCTTGAGTTGTGTGTTTAAGTTGTCTGTTGGGAGATAATTTTCCGATGTGACGAATTTTGCTTTGCGGCAAATAGCCCTGTTGAGTTTGGATTTTTTAATTTCTTCCGGGTAGGAGATAGGAGGACGACGATCGCTTTCAAATGCGCGTCCAAGAAAGTCATCTCTGAAGAAAGAATCATCATAACGTTGAAAACTAGCTGAGGCGTCTGAGTAAGCCTAAATCGATGGCAATTGTTTCCTGGGAGAGAAAACATGTTGGTTCTCGATACTCGCCGCCTGGACAGGGCCGTCTCCAGGAATTTTGATGCCCCAGGCAAAAAATGACTAAGGAGATCAAATAGTACTTCAAATTAATAACATAATTAAATAAGAAGAATGAGCATAATGTACATAAAAGAAATATATAACTCCAAGAAAATTATAACACCATTTTTACTAAATGTAAATAGAAATACATGACTTAAAATTGATATAAAGTATGTGTAAACCAAATAACCGTAAGAAAAATAAAAGAAATATATATAGCACAAAATGTCAAGTTTAATACGAGTTATAAATAATAATTAATAAATTGGATGTATAAAAAGTCATTTACAAATTTGAGTTTCTAATTTGTATACGGAATTGTGAATTGGAGAAAAATAGTAGAAATCAAAGTTTGAAATATATCAAATTATATTGAAGGTCGGTCTTTACCTGGTTTGCAAACGGGCAGGACGGTCAATTAGGTAATATTATTTTATATGTATATGTAATATTACATACAAAAATTACATTTTTTCTAATATTTCAGTACAAATAAATTGAAATTTTATCAATCATAAATCTGAAAGATAAATTTACTATAATAAGGAGTCTGAAAAGATAAAACGTGTCAATATAAGACTCGGAAAAGATAAAGTACCGCGTGTCAATATAAGACTCGGAAAATATAAAGTACCAATAAATTGAAATTTTATCAATCATAAACGTGAAAGATAAATTTGCTATAATAAGGAGTCTGAAAAGATAAAGCGTGTCAATATAAGACTCGGATTATCTATCAAAGACCTAAAATATCACTATTTTTGATTTATTTAATTAATTTTTTATTAATTTCATTGCTAGTTTTTGAACAGTTTTCTTCATAAAAGTATACCAGTATTAGTTTAATAAGACTACAATATTTCAATTTTTTTACATTCATGGTGTTTCATATCTTGATTTATTAGATAAATTGAAATTTTATCAATCATAAACCTGAAAGATAAATTTACTATAATAAGAAGTCTGAAAAGATAAAGCGTGTCAATATAAAACTCGGATTATCTATCAAAGACCTAAAAATCATTAATTTTGATTTATTTAATTATTTTTTTATTAATTTCATTGCTATTGCTAGTTTTTGAACAGTTTTCTTCATAAAAGTATACCAATATTAGTTTAATAAGACTATACAATATTTCAATTTTTTTTACATTCATGGTGTTTCATATCTTAGATGAATTGTTTTCAATCATTCACGCCATGTCTCGACCCATTTCATCTTTCAGATCTCTTATTGATAGTGAACAAATCTTTCAAGTCCTAGATTAATAAAACTTATAAGTTTACTTACTGTATAAAATAATGAATTAAAGAAATTGATTGGAAATAATAATAATAGTAATAATTATTTTAATAAGTCAATAAGTTAAAACAAAAGTGAGCTAGATTTCTTCCCACACAAGTACTGTTCTAATCAACATACTACGTGCAATGCTTGTACCCATGGAACATCCCACACCGGTTTTATACAAGTGAATGCCTTTTCCATTCCACTATTAAAAAAAACAGATTTTTGATATTCTACTACAACAGTGCCCGCCCCACACCGGAAATGTAGGCTTATTCCCTCATCCGTTCTTCTATAAATCAATAGGAGCTTTGGTCTCTAAAACTGGTCTATTCTACTCCTCACGCCTAACCCGCTTAGGCGATGCCTTTTGGCGTATAGTAGAACACTGATATTACTATATTAATAAATTACTATAATTACCATATTAATATATGTAATAATAATAGCTTTGTTATTAAAAATGGTGCCCCTTGGGGAGTGGTGCCCTAGGCCAATGCCTAGGTGCCTACCCCCCATGGCCGGCTCTGCGCCTGGATTTGATGATTTAAAATCAGTTTAGAGATGGATGTGTTGTCCTCGGTTTCATAGGTGCTCCTGTATTGTAAGGAGATTGAGACGTCCTGCGCAGACTCTAGTTGCCCTGAACAGAACCACAAATTCATTCCTTTAAAAGGAAAGTTGCAAAAAAAATTTGAGACAAACAAAAAAAGGAAAGTTCGCTTTGTATACAAACTCTCAAGATTGTCGCTAGATACAGTTGTCTTTGCGTAAAAAAAAAAGGTCAGTGCCATGGAGGAAAATGATAAGCTTTTGGGTTGATCATCATTTTTCTTATTGCATATCCATAAGTAGACGTTTAACATTCATTTAAATGTTTGCTGATAAAAGTCTATATTATTTAACTAATATTCAAACATGCAAGGCATGTAATATAAAAAACACTTACAATTCAATTTTGTACAATAAATAATCACAAAATCTTTGCGATTTTTTTGTGAAGCTTGAAAAGACATAAAATAAGACCGTTGTCATCTAATTTAAGTATAATTTTATCAAGGTTTTTGGGATCCTATGCTCCTTTGTTGTTCATTTTATTTAACAATTTTACTAGTTTCTTTTTAATAAGTTTAAAATTGCCTTTTGGTTCCTTTTTAATTAGCAATTGTAGTTCCTTTTAATTAACAATTTTACCAGTGACATTTTTTGTTAAGGTTGTATGATCTTTTATGTATGCATAGGAATTGTAAAAAGAGTTTGAGTAGTGTCTCATAGGTGTGAGTGAGAAACCTTCTAGAGTATTCACCAATTTACTACTCCCTCTGTCCCGGAATTAAGTTCCCACTTTCCTTTTTCGGATGTCACAAACATGTTCTTACTTCCTTATTTGGCAAACAAATCTGCATCAAAATAGTGCGAAACAGTGCTAAGATAGTGCAAAACAGTGCCAAACAGTTCAAAACAGTGTACTCCACAGTAAAGTCAAATTTATTTACTTAATATGTATGAAGTCAAAGATGAACTTAATTAAGAACCGGAGGTAGTATATATAGCATTACTCCATAATGAAACCTAATAAGGGGGCATTTTGATCTACTTCTAAAAACTGTTACGGTTACTTCAAAGTTCAGAAGCAGGTATTGAAGGATTTGTAGAAGTACTTCTGGGTGCTCCAAATTGCTTCTACAAGCATTTTTATAGAAGTTATAGGAGACCAGTTTCTGAAAAACTGATTTCGATTATGATTCTACTTTTAAAAAAAAAAAAAAAACGCGGAATCAATTCTAAACGCCCCCTGCAATTAAAAGCTTTTTTGGTACTAGTAGTGAGATTAGTTGAATCGATTGAATTTTTTTACCCCGGGGGGTGTCGAGGGGAGGGTGTCTGGAGCCTGGGGTAAGTTGAGCTCAAACTCCCTCCATGGAGTATTGAACATGGGACCTCCCACAAGGGAGAGTGAGTCAGGGACCAGCTGAGCTAAATTGCTTCCTCGTTGAATCGATTGAACCTATTGAAATTTATGAATTTCTAATTGAAGCAGTTAAAGCGCTTGAACTGAATGAATTATAAAAAAAATATTAAATTTTGTTAATATAAAAATTTATATTTTATTAATATCTTATATAAAATTTAATTTTTTATTAATATAAAATTTATATTTTATATAATAATTAGAATCAATGCAAACACTCTCTAAATGTTGGAATAACTATTTACGGAATGAGGAAACAAATTATTCAAAACACACACCCCTTGTGCACATAGAATTTTGTGATGAACTGGACTGATAACATACTCGTAATAAATCTATGATGAAATGGACATGTAGTATACACATACACTATATATTAGCATCTTAAAAATCAATTTATACTCGATCGGGGATTATTTTAATAATTTATTTTCTGCTGGTAGTGGCGGTTCGGAGTTTGTTTATGGTTGTGTAAATCGTTGCATTGACGATGTCCACAACAATAGTTTGCTTGGATCCATTCGTAGCGAGGAGGTTAAAGCGGCAGTTTTCGATATGTTTCCGGACAAATTCCCCGGGCCTGATGGTTTCAGCCCTGGATTCTTCCAACATTTCTGGGATGTGGTAGGGCCAGACATTGTTGATTTCTGCAGGAAAGCCTTCGAGTCAGGTAAACTTCCGAGACTAATTAATCATACTAATATTGTCCTTATTCCGAAAAAGGAAAAACCTGACTCTCTCAGTGACTGGAGGCCGATTGCTCTGTGTAATGTGATTTATAAAATCTTTTCTAAGGTGCTGGCCAATCGGATGAAAAACATTTTACACCTGTGTATTTCTGAACAACAAAGTGCTTTTATTCCGGGTCGGTGTATAGTTGATAATATAATGGTTGCTTTTGAATCCCAGCATTATTTGAAATGTAAACGTCAGGGAAAGTTGGGATTGGTGGGTCTGAAACTGGATATGAGTAAGGCCTACGATCGGGTTGAATGGCCGTTCCTGGAAGGGATACTGAGGAACATGGGTTTTCATGAAAAATGGATCGGACTAATTATGGAGTGTGTTACTACTGTTTCCTATTCTATTCCTTCTGATGATGGAATGATTGAGGTGTTACCTCCAGAAAGGGGACTTCGTCAGGGGGACCCTCTTTCTTCTTACCTGTTTTTAATTGTGGCAGAGGGGCTAAGTGCTCTTTTACCTAAATACGAGTCGATGGGACGGCTTCACGGGGTCTCTATTGCCCGGGGGGACCCTATGATTTCGCATTTGTTCTTTGCAGATGATAGTCTACTCTTCTTCAGAGCCAATCACGATGAAGCCACATTAATTAAGGAGGTCCTGGCTGACTACGAGAAGGCGTCGGGTCAGGTAATAAATTTCAATAAATCTAAGGTATTTTTTAGTACCAATGTTGATGCCAATTGCCGGGAGGGTTTGATTGATCTGTTGGGTGTGGGCTTGGCTGGGGACGATGAGAAGCACCTGGGGTTACCTGCCTTGGTGGGGAGGAATAAAAACAGCATTCTAGGTTATCTTAAGCAACGAGTGTTTTCCCGGATTAATAGTTGGAATAATAAGTTCTTATTCAAAGCGGGTAGGGAGGTACTTTTAAAAGCTGTGATTCAGGCCATGCCAACTTATTCTATGAATGTCTTCCTTTTGCCGGTGGACCTTTGCCGCGAAATTGAAAACACTATGAATGGCTACTGGTGGAAGGGTAAGTCGGGAAAGGGGATTCATTGGAAGAGCTGGGAAACTATTTGTACTCCCAAATCAGTGAGCGGTTTGGGGTTCAAAAGATTACGGGACTTTAATGTAGCGATGTTGTCAAAGCAGGCGTGGAGGATTTTTACGAATCCAGACTCTTTGGTGGGACGGGTATTTAAAGCCAGGTATTATCCTAAGGACGATTTTTTGAAAGCAAAACCTGGGAGTAATCCTTCTTTCATTTGGAGGAGTCTGCTTCACACTCAGAATAGTATTCGGGAAGGGTATTACTGGAGGGTGGGGGACGGTCATTCCATAAATATCTGGGAGGAACCGTGGTTGCCGAACAGAGATAACCCGAGGGTAGTAACAGATAAAATTGGTGGTTTGGATGAGGCGGTTGTGGCCAATTTATTTACTACAACTCATCGCGGCTAGGATTTAGATATGGTGGCGGATATTTTTGAACCAAGAGATGCTGCTATTATTAGGGGGATACCGCTTAGCGGGAGACTGATGAAGGATTCAGTCTGTTGGAGATGGGAGGAGAGTGGACTGTTCTCGGTACGGAGCTGCTACCGGAATTTGGTGGGGGATTTTGGTGGGCAACCAAACATGGAGTGGACTAACATGTGGAAGTTTAAACTTCCACCTAAAATTAAATTCTTTTTTTGGCAGGTTTGCAGTGGATGTCTTCCTTTGCGACAAAATTTGCAGTAGCGGAGAGTGGATTGCTCGGGACAATGCGGACTTTGCAACGCAGGTGTGGAATCAGCAGAGCACATGTTCAAAAGCTGCGTCGTGGCCCAGGACGTTTGGAATTATCTCGGCTGGCATTGGTTATCTGGGGATGCATCCCCTTTGACCGAACAAATCTGCAGCGAGTTTAGGCGGAAAAAACAAGAGCACTTGGAGGTTTTGTTATGGGGCTGCTGGGCACTTTGGAACGAGCGTAATCTTCGTGTGTGGGAGGGGAAATCTTCGTCGCTGCAGCAGTTTACCACTCGAGCGAGGGCGTTTGTCGAGGGATGGAAACAGGTGAACGAGCGGGCGATTGAGGGCAGAAGTAAACAGGACGGCAGGAGTGGCATTGCTGTGTGGAGCAGTCCTAAGGAGGGCGTGTGGAAGCTCAATGTTGATGCGGCAGTAAGGAAGAACATCTGTGGTTTCGGGTGGTGCGTCCGGGATCATGGAGGTGGCTTTTTAGCAGGTGCAGCAAGTAAGTGGCCGGGGAGTTTGACGCCTTTGATGGCTAAGCTCGCTAGTATTCGTGAAGCTTTGGGATGGCTCAAGGAGGTCGGGGGTACCTCGGTTGTGCTTGAATCGGACTCGATGGGAGCAATTTCAGAGATTTTGGATGGCTCGAGTAGTTCAGCGGCGGGTTTATTAAGAGACGACATAAATAATTTGGCGAAGTCTTTCACACACATTCCTTTCAGTCATATTAGGCGTTCAACGAATAAGCCTGCTCATTTGTTAGCTAGGGCAGCTTGTTCTTTATCTGATTCGCAATTCTGGCATTATTCTCATCCTTCATTCATTGTATCCGCTTTAGCGAACGATTTGATTAATGTTAATTAAATTCTTTTCTTTCAAAAAAAAACAAATTATACAGACACTTGCAAGCGATTCTCATTGTTATTCATATTAAACAAAAACATCAAATTGTAAAAAACGGGAATCAGTGCAAACGACCTCTAAATGTTGGACTAATTTTGTATGGAATTGGGAAACAAAATATACAAAACGCAGACCCCCGTTACTGCCTTTGAGCATGTAGATTGTAGAATTATGTGATGAACTTGACTGATAAAATACTCTCAAAAAAAAATTGGTTTGAAAAGGACAATATAATAATGCATTTTGGTTATTGCTTGGCGACATTCGAGCTCAAACTTTATATGATTACTACGGTTATTAAATTATCACTTAGGAATGAATAAATTTAAAAAATCGGTTTCAAAAATACAGAGGCATGGAAGAAATTAAAGTGCCGCGTTTTGAACGAGCATCGTATAAACATGAAATAGCACTAAGCTGCTCGACTTGAATAAAAGAAATCCTGAAATTCAACCCTTTAAATCTTTAATGAAATGATAATCTCAAATAAAGCTAAATGATACCTCGGATGCTTTAGAGAACTTCACGAAGAGCATGAACATATACATTTCTTCTATATGCATCTACTACTACAAGCAATTGTATCTCTTAATGAACATTAAAAGATTGTGCTTAATATAAAGAAATATATACGCATCAAGGCCATAGTAGTGTAGTACCATACTCACACAACAGTGAGTAGGTATAGAATATTTGTTCTTCCTTGTTTTTTGATTCTTTATTGTTCAATTTATTTTCTTTTAAGGTATCTTTAAAATAATACAGAGGAAATAATCAATTTACTACAAAAAATTACTAACCCCACTAAACACAATTGACATTATATGTGCGCAGAATGTGCAGTATGTTTCAAGAATTTATTTGAATGCATTCTCGATCGAATTTTGAGCTGAAATTTGGTATAGATAAACTAGACTTGACGAGGAACATGCTCAAAAAATTCATCAAAAAATTCCACCAGGAACCACCTCAAACAGTAAAGTTCGGACGACACCTCCCGTCCCTCCGGATGGACCTGAGCATTCCTCTATATATATATTATGGCTCTCAATTCTCAAAAATTAGCAATCGATGATTCGACGCTTCTTCTGAACTCCTAACCAATAGATAGATTTAAAGACAATAATGCACCCATCTGTTTAAAATAGGTAGATTTAAAATGTTATGTTTAAGAGACAATGATGAATTACACCAAGATCAGAATGGAACTCTCACCATCTCAAAGTGATATTGATGCACACATTTGTTTAAAGAAGAAAAAGACATTGGCAAAGAAAAAAGATAAGCATTTTAAGTTTGGGTTACAGCAAGATAACTGGTCCGTCTGCATTTACCAAACGCTTACAAGTTTCCACAAATAACCAGCAAGTCTTCCTCCCCCTCCCCTCTGGCCTCTGCTCTTTCTCTCAATAAATAACCAGCAAATCTTCCATATCTTAACCCCCCCCCCCCCCCCTGCGCGCTGTTATTTCTGTATGGCTGAAGGAGCCTAATGAAAATAACAAGATATGTGGATTGGTCTTCCATCTTTCAATCATCAAGAAATCGATCGGTCTTCCATCTTTAATTCAAAACACAACATTTTGCTTGTAACTTTCTCGACCCATGCATTCATATAAATGAAAAAGATTATAAAGTACACAAAAAACATATGGCTACAAGGGGTTTGAGAAAATCACCATTGATGAAGTGTGATATGAGGTGTTGAGAAAAGGGATCCATCCTGACAAGGGTCTGTGTTGTAATACTTTTTGTAACTTGCTTCAACTAATGCACTTTGTTCCTTCACATAGGACTAGCCATATAACAAGGAGGACAAGACAAATTGCACCATCCACGGCGAGAATAATCCGAACAAAACGACACCATTTCTTTTGAAAGTTGTGGTGGTGATTGCTTCCCCTCATCATCCTTCCCGACCCAAACTCCCGTTGTAATAACACGGGAGATACTCCCAATGCTTCAGAGTCAACTCTTTCTGTAGACTTCCTATGCTCCTCCATCTCGATACCCTTCACTCCAACAACCACATGCTCCTTCTTATTCTTATTCTTCTTAATGGCATACTTGCTCAACAATGGGGCTCTTGTTGAAGAAGGACCTCCTTCCATTTGCCCGTTTGCATTAGGGAATGAAGTTGTGGGCACCACCAAGTGGTCTTGATTGGGCATAGTGGGCCACCTAGTGTCCCCACTTGAGACATTCTCTAGTGAGGTGATCAAATTCCTAATTACCGGTACTAGTTGTTCTTGGAGTGTACTTATGGAGCTAAGACTTGACATGCTTCTTCCAGAACTACCCCTTCTTGCACACTTTTCAAATTCGCTTCTAAGATTTTGAAGAAACCGAAGAGCTTCAGCATTTCCGAGAGTGTCTTGTGCAATTGCGAAATAGACATAGCCGCCTTCTTCAATCAAGAAACAGAAAGTCTTTTTACCCATTGTCTGGAAATACCATTGGTGATGAGGTGGCACCTTCTCTAAGCATTGTGTAGCTAAGTTCTCGATCTCGAGGTCTCCGTCGTTGTTATATGTGTACAAAATTCGACCTCCCTTTGATACAGAGCAATAACAAATGCCTTTTTTAGGTGAAACCATCTTTCTTTTTCCTTTTGTCCCAAAGAAGAAAGAAAAGATGGATTTGAATCTTCAGAACTTCAATAAACAACTCTCTCGTTCTCCTTAGCAGCAATAACACATTCACCTTCAAATCGTACTTTAACAATCATAAAGTTAGCGTCTTTCCCCCTCTTTTTGAACTACTTAAGCAATCAAGATTTAAATAGAATAAACTGTCCACTAGCTTTTCAGATACAGAGGCAATGATCAATAAGATAGAAGTTCTAAGAACCCCTAAAATACCCAAGCAATCCCTCTGCAAAATGTTCAAAACTAATTATTAAGTACTACGTATATCATTATGACTCAAGTACTCAACGGACATTCAAGATGCTCTATTGCCCTTTCAGGTATCAAAAGAACAAGGAACATGTTTCATGGAGAATCATCAGATTTATGGAGACCCAAAAGTTTCAATCTGGAATCAAAATCAAAGGAACAAATGCGACCAAGATCTTTCACCGAGTAGTCTATCTATTCATACCTGCTTAAGTCTTCAAAGGCTTTGGAGACACGCCCATAGATTCTCAGATGCGCGGAAAAGGGTTTCAGAAATGGCAACTCTAAGTGGATTTATCAGACGGCGTAACCCAGGATCAATAGAACATCGATGGATAGTACGAGTAAGGAGTAAAGGGTCAGTTTGGTCCCCGAAGTTGTAAAAAAGGGGTCAAATAAGTCCTTATATAGAAGATTTTGTCCGGACGTGCCATTTGAGGTGACTCCCGATAGAATTTTTTGATGAAATTTTTTTATCATCTTATTCATTAAGTCTAATTTATTCATACCAAATTTCAGCTAACAATTCAATCGGGAAGACATTCAAATGAACTCTTGAAGATAACTGCACTTTTAACGGCACAGTTATCTTCAAGAATTCATTTGAATGTCTTCTCGATTGAATTTTTATTTGAAATTTGGTATGAGTAAACTAGACATAATGAATAAGATGCTCAAAAAATTTCATCAAAAAATTTCACCGGGAGCCACCTCAAATGGAACATCCGGACAGAATTTTCTATATAAGGACTTATTTGACCCCTTTTTTGCAACTTCGAGGACCAAACTGACCCTTATCCCTACGAGTAAGTGATCACTGATCCGATCCTCGTCTACAATGACTAGTATAAGGAGTAATCCGTTGACTTGATCTAAATATGGAGACCACAGTCCCAGCCAAGTTGGCCCCAAATACAGTAACGGAAAAGAGACGGACCCCAGTACAAAAAAAAAAAAAAAAAAAAAAAAAAAAAAAAAAAATTATACCACTTATTTGTGGGACGGATGAGTTGTTATTCTCGCTTTGCTTAGCTATGTTCGGGAATAGAAAAGTGATTTTTTTTAAAAGATTATTAGAAAAGTGATTTGTAATAAAAGTTGATAGTGTTTGGGTATAAAAGTGATTAAGATAAAAAAAGTTAAAGTTGGAGTGTTTGGTGAAAAAGTGATTTTTGATGTAGTATTTTAGAAAAGTACTGATATACCCTTATGTAAAGATAAAACTACGATAAACCCAAAAGCAAACCCAGTTGCCACCGACGTAGATACGAACTCCAGACAGACACTTCAAAGCTTGCAGCTCCCCACACCGTTGTGGCCAGGAAGCTTTCCCGACTTCCCGCCCTTGGCTTCTAACTGGGAAACCTTTGTTGCATCCTTCCAATTGTTGGATATCATGATTTCTTATGAAATTCTTGAAGGTCTTGAGATTGATTTTGTATCCAACTTGACTTAAGTGAAACTCCTTCCAACTATGTTTATACTCTCATGGGTCTTCTTTATCTTCTTGCCGGTGGTCATTGATATAAAGAAAAAAAACAGAAGAAGAGGTTCTTGCCCGTTGGTCTTAAATGGTGAAGGCTTCTGAGTTGCGGCAAGTGAAGCACAGGGCAGATGGCAGGCTTGCATAAAGGAAGGATACATTGTGGGTTTAGCAGAAACATTTGACCATTATAATTATCCTTGGAGTTCTAATTATTTACCAATATACCAAGAAGCAGTTAGAAGTCAGGGTATATCTAGCTTTTAACTTTAAAGTGCTTATTTTAAGCAGAAGTTGTCATTTGAAAATACTCATTTCAATTTTTTTAAACAAAAAGCTCAAAAGCACTTTTTTTAAGCAATGGAAAACACTCCTTTCATCTGGCCAAAGCTGCCAGTTCTCGCGACAGGCGATTGTTAAACTAGGGTTAATCCAAACAGTATTTTTAGAAATTGTTTTAACTCAACCTTATTTTGGGAAATATTTTTTTATTTAGCATTATTCTGGGGAGAAGAGACAGAGAGGGGAAAACCTAAACAGACTTGAATTAGAGAATCAGAACTGATATGTGTCTTCTTGGGTTGGATGAGAGTATGACTTTGGAGAGGACAAAGTGGGGGACGCACATTCTTATGTTATTTTCTTATGTTATTTTTCTTATCTTCTAGCTTTTTTATGCTCTTTCATTCTTTTATATTTTGTCTTTCTTATTTCTTATGTTATTGTTATCAACAATGGATTTTGATCTTGAAAAGCTTAATTGGTTGAGAGATGCTTTACTTAAAATTCTAAGGGATAAATGGACTTGTAATAAAATGGAATGGGGAAATTCTCGTTCAAGCAGATTCTAATTGTTTTGGGTCTTTATTCGGATAATAGAGAAGAATTACGACTCTTTATTTGTTCCGGAGGGTCGAAAAGGATTAGGGATTGAGAATTTTTTGATAGGGTTATTGAAAGCAATCAAAATGATGAGTGCATCCGAACATCGGACAATGCTACTTGCACAGGGTGAAATTATTTCAGATATGATGGTGCAATGTTGTAACTGGGTCAAGGATCATTCTTCTCAGAATGTTTCCATTTCTGATATGTTATTTAACAAGTAGAATGATAACTATGACAACTATACTAAGTATAATCAATGTTTCAATTTCCAAGACCCTCAAATAGAATGATATTAATTATAGGTCATAATCCTTGGTTACCCTCTTTGAAAATATACTTACTTTATATATAAAGTCAAGTAGTCGGCCCGAAGGCCCATGTTTACTTTGAAAACATTCAACCCTTTCCCCGTGACTTCAAGCCACGCCCATCTATATTAATTCACCATGCTAGAGGCTTCTTCTAGTCATGTTTTGTCGTGCTAGAGGCTTACTCTAGTCACTACGCTTGGTGTTAGAGGCTTCCCCTAATCACCTTACATACGTTGTGTTGGAGGCTTCCTCCAGTCACATTGCGTTATGCTAGAGGCTTCCTCTAGTCATCCTACATTACGCTAGAGGCTTCCTCTAGTCGTCCTACATGAATGCTGGAGGCTTCCTCCAGTCATTCTTCATCGTGCTAGAGGCTTCCTCTAGTCACGATACTAGTTCACTAAGCAAATTCTATGCCTAGAGTTCCTCTACTATGAGTAGCCTTTGAGGTCTACTCCTAATGTAACTTAGCGGTTACCCATTTCTACCTTAAGACATCTCATAAGACTACTTAAGGTACTTCTTTCACAATCCAAGCCCTTAGGATTTGTTCTATCACTTTTCATACTAACATTTCCGACTAGTAAATTCAATACTAATCCATTAATCTTTAAGCCACCAAGCTCTTTAATTCATAGTTATAAGGTTCATTCCTATGAATTTCCCAATCCGTATATGATTTAACCTCAATATCAAAAATATCACTTTTATCCATTCATGACTTCTATACATGAAGTAAAAGTATATTTCATCACAAAATTTCATGGTTTATACAATCATCATATCATCATACTTATAATGCATAACTATACACCATTTACTCATAAATTTGTATATTATGCATCCTCTATCCATAAACAATAATATTTTCATTTAGGCATTATTAATCATTATAATCCATGAAAATCACATTTAATTAACTTAGGTAATCTTATGAAATTAACCCAAGGATTATAAGCAATATAGTCAGTCATCCTCACCTTATGATGTGCTCAACTAGCTGCCTTAGCGAAACCCCTCGATCCGTCCTCGTTCTAGGCCGTTCAAAAGTGAAAATTTTGGGCAGAAGGTGAAAGCCGGGCGGCTTTCACGAAAGCTGGGCGGCTTTCGTGGTCTGCAACTACGAACAGCCTCCTACACTTGGCGGTTTCCGGCGGTTTCAACTCCTATCAATTCCACGACTCTTCTAAGTTAAATATCACCACTTTATAACATTATTCTACACTTTTTAACATGTAGAACTTCATATATAATCCATCATATGATTTCTTAAAAATCATACAACATAAAACTAGTTAAGAGATATACTTGAGTTCTTACCTTCAACACAAACGATCTCTTGTTGGATTACTAGTTCCCTTCTTCAAAGTTGTTGTGTTGTGAGAGTTTGTTCCAATCTTCCTCTGACTCTTTCTCTTGTTTGTATGGAGTAGAGAGCAAGGAGAAATATCCCCTTCAATCACACCCCAATCAAGTGTAGACAAGGCCAAAAAGAGGGTGGGTGTTTGTCTTGCACATCACCTCACTCAATAATCCGCCCCAAGCCATGCTAACTTGTCTCCTCCCAATTATTTTGGGAGTTATTTGACTGATAGAGTGTCTCAAGTGGGTGTATAAAGTCCCTCCCAATTATTCTTGGTATTTTTGGCAGGTTGGGTCAAAATAGCACTCGGGTTGTCCAAACATTTTTATCAACCTTAGTTGGCACTTTATTGGGCTTCTATAAGTATCACGATAACCCAACTAAATATTTGGTAGCTCATTCTCATATATTGGACCCGATAAATAATTTAATTAATCGCACATTAATTAAATATACCGTCTGGCGCGCAATTTTATTCGCTGGGAAATTCAAATACATAACAAGTTTCAAATACAAGTACACCCGGGTGCGGTGTCACATTATATCTACAGATAATCTAGACAATACTCAAATTTCTCTTTATCAGCATTCGGTTGATAAAGAAGAGGCCGGAAGAGGTCTTAAAAGTTTAGATTTTATGAACGAAGAGCCTGAGGCTGTTTTTGTTGATGAAGTGATGAAACAAAATGAGATTGATCAAGCATCAGTTGGAGACGAATCAAAAGAGAATTATCATAACTATCTTGCCAACATTAAAGCTGAATTTCAATTGTTTCACAAAGAGTTTGGTCACAAATTGCAGCAAAAGGCCCAGGAAAAACAAATTAATTTGGTTCAACAATTAAACAAAGTGGCTCACATGCCATCAGAAGAAGAAGGCTTCATGGTTGTTGTTTCCAAAAAAATCCAAGAGGCACAATGAATCAACACCTAGGACTATTGAGACCAGGCAGCAAGCGCGATTGCACAACACCAGGCAACATACTCAACAACGAACCCGGGTCAACTACTCCAACACGGATTATGACTAATCATCTAGATTACTATTCATATATATTCGTGTTTGGATTCTTCATTTATTTTCTAGAGGTTGTGTTCCTCGTTGGTGTAATTGATTGAGTGGTTCATTATCATGGTTGGCAAAACGATTTCAACATACTTCTTCTGAAGCTTCAACTACTCGCTCTCCCCCGGAACCACCGCCTCACTTTGAGAAAACTATAACGCTCAACTGGATATCCTTTCCGGTGGCTAGTCAAACCGATGATTTAGTCAATTTGTGCTTAATTGAGTTTCCTTTTGTTGGTTGCTAGTCAAACCAATTCTTACTTTCGATTGGCTGGTGAAGCTGCATTACTGTGAGGTTATGATGGATTAATTTGATCTTTTCTGTTCTATGTCTCATTCCATTGTAACCTTAGAATACTCATTCACTTATATTTTCGCTATTATTTATTGAATAAAGGGCTAAATAGCTATATAGCATATATAAACAAGAGAAGTTCAATTAATAGCCTATCTTTTGATATTTTAAATACATAGCATATTTGACTGGATAAACTAATAAGCACGAGAGTATTTTGTTAAGAACATTAAATGCGTATCACATTTTTAGGAGATTTTCTTCCTTTCATTTTAATCTAAAAGGCTATATGTTTTATTTATATAAATACATGACATTAATTCACTACACCTATTTAAACTTGTACATACACCCAATTATTTCTTGAATAAATTAGTCATTTGATTTTCAAAAAATAAACAAAAAATAGTGAAAGAGCTATGGTTTTACGAGAAATCATTCATACTCCTATTCTTAGTAAATTGACTAAATTCTTAGAGTTTTTTCCATTTTTTCGTCTCTCAATTATTGTGTCGGTGACATTTTTGGTATCGACTTTTAATTTTTCCATTTTAGCTCTCGACTACTGTGCTACTCAGCTTCAAAGTTTCGCACATTTAGTCATATGAGTATTATCAAATTGACACTTTGTCCTTTCACTATGTTTTTGACATAATAAGTGGATGCCTAAAAATGTCACTATTATAATAATTCAAGGATTAAAATAATCACTTTTATGAAAGACGAATGAAAAAATATAGAAATTTTCAAAGACGAATATTAAAAGTGCCTCTAAGACAATAGTTAAGGATTAAAATTGAAAAAAATGTAAATCAAATAACAAGATTATCAATGACTTGGATGTATTTTAAAAGATCATGGATTTTGAAATCCGAGGGATTCTACAAGATTTGTGGTTGAATGTTTTTGTACATAGAAATTCATCAAAATCCATTCAAATAAGGATGTTTTTACTTGGACTGTAATTTGTCACAGACCAGACCAGATCAGATCAGATCAGACTTGGGTATTTATAAAAATACATAGAAATCAGATCAGACCAAACTAGTTCAAACCAGATCAGACCAGATTAAAATCCTCTAGGATACAAATGGGGACCCTCATTAAATTCTGATTTAGGACTTTACTCAGGCCAACACAACAACTTCATTCCTTATCCGCTCAAGTATCAACCGATCCTTTCTGGTTGATGGAAAAACTGAATAGATGAGAGCTTTCCCCAAACTAGCGGCTTTCTTAAATACCTTCTCGGTACCGTGGGAAAATCCGAGGTCCCTATAGAAAACGAGAATCACAAAACCGCTGCTTCAAGAATCGCTTCGAATTTACTGTAATTTCCAAAGAGAAATTGTTGTTGTTGAATCAGCATTTCCGTAGTTCTTGAGCTTCCCAATTCGGTTTAAGGTTCTTGCGTAGGACTATGACGATCGGGCTGAAACAGGTCAGATTAAAAGTATGTACTTGGCTCCGCAAGAAGATTGTCGACCCTCTTCTCCAAATCCTTACTAGGTATGTGCTCACCCTTTTGGAAATCTGAAGTTCGTACTAAGATTAGTAAGGGAGGAGATATAAAGATTTGTTAAATCTGCACATTTCAATGAATGCTTTGTTAAGGGGAGCCGAACCGAAGCAATTAGCATTCTCTGGTGCACTTGGCATTACGTTAGGAATCTTCCCCATTTGCGGTATGATCTACAATCTCTAAAAAAATACGACCTGGAATAAGTTTCCTCAATCTCTTCTTTTTAGATTTAAAACTTTGTTCTGTATTCAGTTGAAACTGTACCCCATTTAGTGAATTTGTAAAATTATTATCTCCGAAAAATCAAGTCCTTAGACTCTTCTTTCAGTTTCTTTTTTTGTAAATTTCAAATCCCTCTTGATTAATAATTTACTCATAACTTTTTTCCTCTAGACTTTGGATTCCAGGAAATTAGGTTGCTTCATGGTAGTTGTGAGTTGGGTTTGGATACAGTCCAGACTGATCCCGATCCCGATTCCGAAACAACCCCCCACCCCATAAACCAGGACCTGCCGTCCCTTATTAATTTGAACCAGACATGGACCCATGTTTGATGGTTTGAAAGGTCTTCCTCCCATGACCAACTTGATGGCTGTTGATCCCCGACTGGTCCCAAGACCTGCAGTTGCAGTTCCTGGCTGAGGCCATGTCCTCCCTAAACCTAGATAAATGAAGGATCGTGCTTCAATATTTTGAAAGACATGGACCACATTGAAGAGACATGGACCAAAGTTGCGATTTTTCCATATTTTTCATTAATGTTTTTGGGAAAACTGTCAAATAGGTCCTCTTACTATATCAAAAACATCAATTGACTCCTTGTACTTTAAAATCATTCAATTGAATCCTCCAACTCTTATGAAAGTTCAATTCAACAATTTAACCTGTAAACAACAATTTCCCCGGTTCATAGCTTACGTTGACTGCCTATGTGGCTTTCTTTAAATGTTTTTTTATTTTTTGGTTTATCCTTTCCAAGTTTTACCCGTTTCTTTTTCTTTGATTGTTTCTTTTTCTGCTCGCAAGGTTCTTCTGCACCTGCCATGGCCTGCAACTTCACTTGCAAAATGCTCTGTGTCCACTAACTCCACTTTCCTCCTTCCTCCTCCATTCTCTCTCCCAGTTTACTCTCTTCTTCATGGACTTTGCTTCCCTTTTATTCATAGCGGCAATCTTCGTCTTCAGCGTCTGATAGGAACAGGACAATCTACAGTATATTAATTCAGGAAACAAGGAATACAGAAGCTATTACAATAGCCGATGATGGTTATTGTCGTACAAAGAAAGAGAAGAACGGTAAGAAGAAAAACGATAGAGACACTTCGAGTAGTCTCAACACTCCCAAGTCCCCATTCAGATCCAAAGTTCTGCCTACTCTCTCCTTCTTCTATTCCCTCTATTTATTCTTTTCCAAATGAGGCATCCCTCAATTTATTTAATTACTTGGCCCAGCCCACTATTACATTTTATTAAAATATTAAGCCCATAAGTCCAGGTCTCTATCAGCGTCATTCCAAGCCCTGCCGTCGTTGCTCGTCTGCTTCGCCGTATGGATTTCTTAGCCAGGATGCTCCTCTGACTCGTCCCCTTTTTCAAGTCCGAGTATTGCCTTCCCGATTGTACTGTACCCCTTCTTCTTCTTCAGGGATTTGATTGAGTGTTACGAGGACTTAATTGACTTTTTCTCTATATTATGAGGACCTATTTGACAGTTTTCTCTGTGTTTATTTATTCAACCAATGCTTGAATTTAGTTTTTCTGTTCCTTTTTTTCTCGGAACTCAAAAGAAAAAAGCAATTGAAAAGACCATATGACTATTGTCATTGGTGTTTGAGTGAACAACAAAGAGTATGGTAAAGAATTCTTGAGCATCAATCATATTTTGTTCACAGGTGTTACAATATTTCTGTGTGGATTGGCTATTGCATTGCTTGGATCTTTATGTCATGCTCCAACAGTAATGCTTGCTAACTTTATTGCCACCCCAATCGAATTGAGGTAAAAAAGCAAAAAACAAGAGAACCACTATGCCTTCTCTACAGTAATTTATTTTCTTGCCTTTTCATTCCCATGACTGTCGTCTTTAGCCTTTGTCAGTGACTTACAATATTTTCGGTACCAATGCCTTTAAACAAGTTGTTCGAAACGTGGATATTATGCTTAACAAGTGTCTGCATTGGTGATGAAGAGTATATGAATTCATAAGAAAATACTTATGATGCTGATAGTTAGATAGTAGTATCCTTTTGGTTTCATTGCTGAATCCTGTAGGGTCCATTCGGAACTCGGAAAATGCCAAGGAATGAAAATAGGAAGGAAAGCATTAAAGAAAATAAGAAGTAGAAGAGAGTTAAAAGTTTAAAACTAAATAAATGTATTTTAAATCTTTTTTAAACAATGGAGCCAAAGACTCACTATTTTTTTGGCTTGGGAATATGATGGAATAAAGCAAAATGACTCAATAAACTGTTTGCGCTTCTTTGTTATGAAGCAGCAGTCAGTCCATGCAATTTTCGACGCAATTTTCATCATGGGTCATCCAAAAAACTGTCTCTCTTTGCTTTAGTATAAGGGTAAGACTGCGTACATCCGACCCCCCTTACCTCACTGGGGTAATGTTGTTGTTGTAGATCTTTTTTAAACGCATTTTATTTTTTATTACCATCATATAAAGACTTAGAGTACTGGAATTTTAAAAAATCACATTTCATTTATTTTTGCAAAGATTTTCTTCTGTCTTGATATGATTTTCAGCTACTAATATGAATTTGTGTTCCTTTTACAAGATAATATTAGGGGTAAGTAATTTGTTATCTAATAGTTAGAATTAGTTTGCCAGCTTATATTCCATTGGCTTATATGCATCTTACCTAACTATGATGAGGGTAACACACCATTATATTCTCCTAATAGTTCTTGACTAGTTGACTTGTCATCATTTCTTCTGTGCTAATGCATGCATCATTTGGGTACAAGTATGCAGTTTGATAATCCCATTCCTGCGATTTGGAGAATCAATTACTGGTGGCTCTCATTTTTCTTTGACATCTGATGCACTAAAGAAGGTTTTCACTGGTGAAGCTTCACATGAACTCTTGCTAAGTATTTTACGTGCGGTACGTACATACAATATACATTTTTTTTTAAACTTAGTTTGTGCAATTAAGTTTTAATGATTCAAAGCATACCCATCGAAGGAAAAAGTAATTCTATACGTTTACAGGTTGCTTACGACATTTAAGGCTGGAGCATCACTTTTAATATTGTTTACACCCCTTGACCAGTTAGATTTTCCTCAGGCGATGCTGAAAGATGATAGCATGTAATTGATATTAGCAAGAATTTCATATTTGGATTAGAAAACTGTTGATATTTTCCCTGAAGGTTGGGGGCACATATTTTAATTGACGAAATGCAAGAAAGAACCACACCAAATTAATATAAAGACGCACCATTCTTGTTAATATCATGAATGCATGATTTTCCTTAAACTTTCTACGTTAAGGAAGTCTTATTGTTGAAATCTAACTATCACGGGAGTAATTTGGAACTATTAAATCATGAAGGTTGTCTGAAAAGTTGACCAAATCTTGGGGGTAGATGTAATTAAGCCTCTAACTTAAACACCAACAAAGCTTTGAATTTGAAGATGATTAAGCAGCTTAAACAATAAATTTGAAATCTGGCTATTAAATTAAGCTCCCAGTTGATGGATAAAACATAATTCATTTTCATTTACAGCAGACAAAGTTGTGTTAAATGAGGCGAATCATTAATCGATGTGTTTGATGATTGTTGTGCAGCTGTTGGGATGGATTGTGGCTGCACCATTCATTCTGGCAGGCCTATATATACTCTTCTTGCCATGTTTTGCTTAAACTTTCTACGTTAAGGAAGTCTTATTGTTGGAATCTAACTATCACGGGAGTAATTTGGAACTATTAAATCATGAAGGTTGTCTGAAAAGTTGACCAAATCTTGGGGGTAGATGTAATTAAGCCTCTAACTTAAACACCAACAAAGCTTTGAATTTGAAGATGATTAAGCAGCTTAAACAATAAATTTGAAATCTGGCTATTAAATTAAGCTCCCAGTTGATGGATAAAACATAATTCATTTTCATTTACAGCAGACAAAGTTGTGTTAAATGAGGCGAATCATTAATCGATGTGTTTGATGATTGTTGTGCAGCTGTTGGGATGGATTGTGGCTGCACCATTCATTCTGGCAGGCCTATATATACTCTTCTTGCCATGTTTTGCAATCTTGGTCAGTAAGTTCAGTGGCACAGTTCTTCCATCTTCCCCCAAGATCCCATTAATTCAACCCCATGCTGAACTGAAGGTCAAGGTGAGAGATGTCTGATCAACAAGGGTTAGGGAAAGTTTGTAAATAGAACTCTGGAGAGTCCTATTTATGCATGTATATATATGTGACAATATTTGATACATATTTTGCTAATAATTTTGTATGGAGTACTACTTCTCTGTACCCATAAAAATAGTTACGTTTATCCAATGTATTACTTTTGAGTTTAATAACCAAACTTAGGGATGTTAGTAATACTCGTATCAATGGATATTTATACAATCCACTCCGTACATGTGAATGAAAACCAATAAAATACGGAAGCTAATAATAAGATGATGGATGGATGAGATGATGGGTAGGACTAGTACTTCTAATGTGTTCGGTAGGGGGCAGGGTTGGTACGGTTTGAGATTAGGGTTATACTGATTTCAAATCCGGTTAGTAATAACGGTTCAGGATAGTACGGGACTAGGGGTGGGCAAAAATACCGAAATATCGGTATAACGCACTTACCGTACCGAAAAATACCGGAAAATACCGAAATATTGGTATACCGTCATTTTCGGTATGGTATCATACCGTACCGGTCTATTTCGGTACGGTAAAGGTAAATGTTTTCAAATACCGCGGTATACCGGTATAATACCGTACCGACTCCCTACTCAACAATTACTTTTAATTCTAATATATTGTAGAAATCCATTACAATTTTGAAGCCCAAAATTAATACTTAAGTTGGTTACAAATACAAAAATATAAAAATAAAGGTCCAATTTCTCAAACCCACTGTAACCCTATAGGCTTCTACTACGCTAACCTTAAATGACTAATGAGTAATGTACAAATGTCAAGAAACAAGTCCATGTTGTTCCAAGAGCTTGCAAGTCGTGATGGTTGGGCCGCTAAGTAGCTGACGAGTGAAGATAGATACACTCATGTGACAAGTGTATCTACATAGGGATTCAGCAAGTCGAGACACACAACTTTGTCCGAAAGTCTTATTCAATTTTTAAAAAATTATAAAAATGACTAAATACACAATATCATATTAGGAATAAATGATTTTATATCCATATTGTTTGAATAGTTTTATTTATTTTTGTTAGAGATCACTATTGATTTAATTATATCTATATTGTTCAAGTTATTTTAGGAGAGTGTTACTTTTTAATATGTGGTATGTTGAACTGCTTAAATATACTAATAATAATTATTGTTCAATATTGAATTGACATCAATAGATTATTAATTGTATTTCGTAACATTTTAATAATAGATTTAATATGTTGCTAGTAATAACGATTTAGTATATTTCGTTAGTCTATGATAATTTTTTGTATTGGGAGACATGCACGGTAATTTACCGATACCGTACCGTTACCGAACCGAAACTTCGGTATACCGAAATGCGGTATACCGAAACTTCGGTAAGGTAAAGGTATGCAAATTTTGCATACCGAAAGTTTTGGTATGACAAAGGTATGAGAAAAAATATAAGGTATACCGTACCGAACCACCCCTATACGGGACAAGCCTTTGTCATAATCTTGCCCCATTTAAAATGGGACTGAGATGATTGAGACGGGTTAAGGTGTCCTAAACTAACAAAAAGTTATTGGGTGTGGAATAAGAAATTGAAAATTTTGTGGTTAAATTCATTAAAAAGGAAAGTGACAAAGTTTTTTAGACACAACAAAAGAAAATTGGCGAAGTTCATTGAAATGGTGGGGTATATGAATGTCTTTAGTTTATTTCTTATGACAACAAAATTGCTTGAAAATGTCATTAGTCGAAAATTTGGACATGGTTGAAGCAAGACTGTTTTTGGGATTGATTTTCACATTATTATGCGTGTTTTATTATTATTTTATTTATATTGTATAGGATCTTATTCCGGTGACATTGGAGACCTAGAGAAGAATTGAAAACATATGATGGTCGTTGATGTCAAGTTGTCAACAATTCAATGGCCATGAGCCCATCACGCTCTCTATCAAACAATCCACTACAAATTTCAATTTTGTAGCTTATCGCTGCAAAACATGTGTATAATTGGGGTCACAATTCACAAAACTCCTGCCATATATGTCTAGGATGTTTAATATATATGCATCCTACAGGATGCCTAATAGAATTTATATACTTCGTATATGCCATTAAGCCATATGTATTTTTTACGAGGATGTCTAATAGAATTTCTATTAAAACTACAGGATGTTTACTATTAGAATTACATATGTTTTAACTAAACAATATTTAAAACTATTTAAATTGCATATTCGTAAACTACAAATTTCATTTAAAGTTCTAATTTCTTATTTTTTATTTTATTTATTCTAGGATGTTTGCATTTTTATGTAATATGTTTGATTCCTCTAACTATTATATCATTTTAAGGGGTGTTTGGAACTGATTCTGCTTCTGCTTCTTTTTTAAAGTAAAAACAAAATCAGAATCAGTTTTCAGAAGCTGGTCTCCCCCAACTTCTAAAAAAAATTGATTCTAGGAGTAAATTAGATCACCAAAATTACTTCTACACGTTCACCCAAACACTCCAACTTCTGATTCTGCTCCTTGAAGGAGCAGAAGCAGTTTTAAGAATCAGATTCAAACACCCCTTTAGTGAAAAAACCGAAAAAATTGAAAAGGAACCGAAATAATTCGAACCAATCAAACCGTGGTTTCAAATTTTGTAATGTAAAACCCAACCGAACTTTTTACTTTGGTTCCGTATTTGAATTTTGGTCAAAATCTAACGAAAAAATCGAACTCACCCCTAATTTAAACTCCTACCAATTCTCATCAAAATTATCTCTATTCTGATCAATGCATAATTCTTAATATGTTTAATTTAAAATAAACATTTGAATAGACAATAGTAGTATATACGGAGTAATATATAATCTTACTAAATCAAAGTAATTTCAATTGTGAAAAGCCTCGTAGTATTTTATAGTATAAAGGTGTAGTAAAGCATGTGTAAAATGTCATTTGACATATATGTCCAACATCTATCTCAAACATATCCTGGTCTTCTCATCGTATCTGCTTCCAACAATATGTCAAATACGTAGTATATTACTAAGCATTCATATGGAAGCCCAATAACTACCTTAAAAAATTCTTTTAACATACTCTTTATCATCATCTAACTACCAATCCTAATGTGTAACATGCATCACAATATATCACGACAAATCTCATCGACAATTCTTATATCATCATAGCGGTTACTCCGGGTAGGATCACGCTTCAAATTAAGGATTCATTTTAAATAATAATATTCTCCTCAACCTGGAGGGACATATGTTAATCGACCTATATCAAAATTCTTTTTACGAGGTACAAATGATCTTGTTGCCGCCTTTGAGACAAACTTTTGAGGAAATTTAGTATAAGTTAAATCCTTTGCCTCCGAGTGCTATTCACTTTCTCTCAATCACGAAAAAAGTACTCCAGTTAACAAATTCATGGAGCACAACATCACTCATTGTTGCATCATTTTCAAAATAAACATATTGCTCGTTGGGGATGTAGGCAACCGGTTCTGGTCTAACCGGCCCGGGAACCACCCGGCCCGGGGTGTTGGGGCAGGGCGGTTCGGGGCTTGCCCTTCCTTTGGAACCGGGGCCGGCCGGGAGGGGCCCTGTCCGGGCCTCTTTTCTTTTTTTTGTTGTAGCCGGGTTGGGCTGGGTGTTTTGGGGGGGTTTGGGGATGGGGGGTTGGGGGTTAAAATATAAGAACCGGCCTGACCCGGACCCGGTGGAATCCCGGCCTAATTCCGGGCCTTCGCCCAACAATAAAAAGTTCGGTTTGGACCGGTCCATGCCTATGGAGAAGTGAAAGTTCAATTGTTCAACAATGGATTCTTATACTGAATTTTCAACTCAAATATTCTCCATATTTCCTCAAATGGAGATATATATCTCCAATCATAGTACTACCTTCGTAACATATATATATATATACATAGTGTGTGTGTATATATATGTATGTATGTATGTATGTATGTATGTATGTATGTATGTATGTATGTATGTATGTATGTATGTGTATATATATATATATATATATATATATATATAGAGAGAGAGAGAGAGAGAGAGAGAGAGAGCTCTTCCTGTCCGGAATTTCCGGACAGGGCCTTGGTCCGGCCACCTCAATTTGAGGTGGTTCTCGGTGGTATTTTTGACTCAAATTTTTTGTGTATGTTCTTCATCAAGTCTAGTTCATCCATACCAAATTTCAGCAAAAAATTCAACCGGGAAGGTCGTCAAATGATTTTTGCAAGTTAAGTGGTCCGGGATATGTATATTCCGGAACATACACAAAACATTTGAGTCAAAAATATTGTCGGGAACCACCTCAAATTGAGGTGGCCGGACAGGGGAGTGGTCCGGCCTGGCCGGACCTGAATACTCCTGTGTGTGTGTATCTTCCCGTTTAAAAGTAGGTGAGAGTATTATGAGATGATTTAGAAATGAGAAGATATGAATGTTATAGTCAAAAAAGAAAAGTAGGAAAATATGAATGTCATAGAGGAAATATAAATTTATTTCATCAACGGTGATAGAGTCTCGTTTATAGACTCGGGCCATGTTTTTTGGCATGCCTAAATGCTGCACCCATGTAGAGTAAAATAATTAAAGTTTTACAAATTATATCATAGGACTATTATACAATGCGCATAATATATCGGTCCCAATAAAAGAACCCTTCCTCCTCCAAACATTCCATTAATATCATTTACGTTTTGACTTGGCTCAAGTGACATTTTCATTAACGCCTCTTACATTTCAACTTGGCTGAAGTTAACTTGATTTATATTTAAATTATTATTGCGATTTACATTTAGAGATGTTCTTAGCAAATGAGGGCAAAACAATGAGCAAAATCCAATGATAAATCCTAACGGTAAATCAACCACAATTGGCGTGAATTTAATGGACCCGTACCGTACCTTCAGCTGCGTCAAGGGTCCCGGAGCAATAATGTGGGGAGGACTATTCGTAGCCCAAAGATTGCATTTTTCCTTTATCCCCAAACTGAGTGTTCCTCACACTGCAACAAAATGGGAAATGGGAGCTTTGTGGGATTCGACTATAAGGAAAGTTAGAACAAATTCGAGCGATGTCGTATAACAATGGGAAAAGATATTCTTCGAGCGACCATGAAATTCGCTCTAATGGTAGTAACTATGATGCTGGGTGTTGCACGCACTCAAAAGCTTTAGCAGAGCTTAAGGTTTACCAAGCTTGCATCTTTTCGGTTCCCATTTTCTTTGCCTTCATACTTCTCTTCTTATTCTACTTTTTTTA